TCCAAATTGAAACACTTCTGGTCCTAAGCATTTTGGAAAGGGGATATTCAACCTCTGCAGAGTTAAATTATAGAGTAAATAAACCATTACTAAAAAGCAATGATCCTTGAAAGTGGATGCAATGATCTTTGAAGAGTCAAACTGTAAGAAAAAATAATAGCTTTGTTCTAAAAATTTTAGACTGTATTTGCAACTAATGTGGCGTGGAAGGTAGGGAGAAGAGTGACAAAGTAAATTGTTTTTAAAAAAGTTTTCACTTTGCTGGGGTTGGGGGAGGAATAGGCAAAACACTAAAGGGGCACAGAATTATAATTTAGTCTTCATGTATTACTGGAAAAATATAGTTCTAATTATATCTGTTTCAAAGATTATCATGAGCAGAATTAAGAAGCATTGCAGATTTTGTTTTACAGGAGGAAAAAAAATGAACAGAAACTAGATCAAGTCAGCAAAAGTAAAGGAATGGAAAATAGAGGAAACAGCATCAAGGAATATACATGGTAAACATGAAATATGCAGGAGGAATAAAACCAAATGTGTCAGCTTTTTCTCTAAATGTAAACGGGGCTGCCCGCGGTGGCTCACGCCTGTAATCCTAGCACTCGGGAGGCCGAGGTGGGCGGATTGCTCGAGGTCAGGAGTTCGAAACCAGCGGCTGAACGCAAGAGGCGGAGACCGCCATTCCTTGACTTTTGCTATGTTTTTGAATTTTGGAATATATAATGAGATATCTTGGGGATAGGACCCTAGTCCAAACACAAAATTCATTTATGTTTCATATACACCTTATACATGTAGCGTGAAGGCAACTTTATACAATATTGTTGATAATTTTGTGCATGAAAAAATGTTTTGACTATGTTTTGACTGCAACCCTTCAAAAGAGGTCAGATGTGGAATTTTCCACTTGTGGAATCATGTCAGCACTCAAAAAGTTTTGGATTTTAGAGCATTTCAGATTTCAGATTACAGATGCTCAACCCATATATTCCAAGATCCACAGTTTATCTCAGTTTCTCTCCTCTTTGTCTTCTTCTATCAAGAAAATTTTGTTCTGTTTTAATTGCCGCCTGGTTAGCACACTTTTCTTGAGTATTTTCTTCCAGTAGTGTACTGGGTATATGCTCTGACTCCTTGTGTGTATGAAAGTATCTTTTGTTTTGACAGATAACACTTTCTTGGCTAGGCATAGATGGTATAGGTATATAATCGCAGTCCCCCACCCCCCCGCACCCAATTATCTATACCTGTTATTCTAGTTTCCAATGTCTTAGATGAGAAATCCAAGGCTGCTCTCATTTCTCTCCCTTTTGAATGGAATATCTGAATGCTTAGAAGAATTTCTATTTATCCTGGGAATAGACCGTATCTAGATGCATGTGTGTGTGTGTGTGTGTGTGTGTGTGTGTGTTTCCATTGACTCTGTCTGTCTCTCAGTGATCCTTTTCAACATGAATATTCAAATCTTTCTTCTACTTGGAGGATTTATTTCCAATATTTAAGTAACACCCTACTCTTTTCCATCTGTTCTTTTCCTGTTCTGGAACTTCTGCTATTCACAAGGTAGGTCTCATGTATCTGTCCTCAAACTATCTTTTTTTCTCATGCTTCATTTCTTTGTGGTTTGGCTTTGTGTTATGATCAATCTTTCAGACAACCAATTCAGTTCTCAGTAGTGACCATTTCTGCTCTCCATTCATCTATTGAATGTTTTAATTAAAAATAAGGCTTTTCATAAACTCTTTTAGTGTTCTAATCCCATGTCCTAGAAACTACCTTCTCTTCATCATTACTCCTACTTCAGTATAAGCCCCTGTCCTCAATATTCACGTGATCATTGAAGTGGTTAATTTTATGTGTCAACTTAGCTAGGCTATGGTGCCCAGATATCTGGTCAAACACTAGTCTAGATGTTGCTGTGAAGGTATTTTCTTACATGTGGTTAACAATCAGTAGGCTTTTAATAAAACAAGTTACCCTCCATAATTTGGGTGGGTTTTATCCAACCAGTTGAAGTCCTTAAGAGCAAAGATTGATGTTTCCTAAAGAAGAAGTCTTTTGATTCATCTTTTTCACTATCTTATACTGATTTCATCTTATATCTCTCAATTCGTTCATTTATCTTTTCTTATTTTTCAAGTGAATTCTCCATTAAAGGATTCTCAGTCTTTCTATAATACAAATTTACTCTGAGAACAGCTTCAGCTATATCCCACAGGTTTTAGAATAAAGTGTTCCTCTTCATTACTTCATAGACAATTTATAATTTGCTTTTATTTCTTCTTTGATCTAAGGCTATTGGGAGAGTTTGACTTAATGTCCATAGACAAGGGAGTTTGTTATTGTTCTTCTCCTATTAATTCCCAGTTTTTTAGTTTATGATCAGAGAGCATGGTCTTTAAATTAAAACTTTTTTTGACTTATAAAGCTTCTGTCAGGCTGAATGCATGATTGTTTGAACAGGTTTGTGTAGGACATTAAAAATGCATATATTCTCTATTTATATGTATATCTACTAAGTAGAGCGTATTGATTGCATTATGCCAGTCCTCTTCAGTGGTCCCGAACCTTTTTGCACAGGGACCAATTTTGTGGAAGACAATTTTTCACAGACTTTGGGTGGGGGGATGGTTCAGGATGATTCAAGCACATTACATTTATTGTGCACTTTATTCTATCATTATTACATTTAATATATAATTAAATATTATACAACTCACCACAATGCAGAATCAGGGGAGCCCTGAGCTTGTTTTCTTGCAATTAGACGGTCCCATCTGGTGGTGATGGGAGCAGTGACTGATCTGACAGGAGAGGAGCTCACGCAGTGATGCAAAGCGGTGAGGAGCAGCTGTAAACACAGATGAGGCTCCACTCGCTGCCTGCTGCAGCAGTGTGGCTGGTTCCTAACAGGCCACAGACTGGTACCAGGGGTTAGAGACTGTAACTCTATATCATAGCTTATTTTTTGTCTCCCTGGCCTATTAAAGTTCAAACTATTTTATTCATGTTCTCTGGGTAGTTGTAGTTTCCTTTTACATATATTTGATTGTATGTTATATGATGATAAAAGGATATGGTTACTATATATCCTTGAACTATCTGATTTTACCTCATATAACGTCACTATTTGTTCTATTCAATGTGTTTGAACATGATTTCATTAGTATCATAATGCTGCATATCTTGCTTTTGCCTGTATATTTTTGCACATCTCTTTATATTTGATTAATTTTGGCAGAGTCATATACAATACAAGGTACAAATGTCAAAAGGCACATATGGTACCTATCTTTGTTTGCAGCCACCAATTCTCTTAGAAGCATCCACTGTTATTTCTTTGTGCATCTTTTAGAGTACTTCTTTATTTTCCATCTTGCTTGTCAATATTTTTAGGTGCATTTTGTAAACTAAAGCTGGATTTGGCGGGCGCGGTGGCTCACGCCTGTAATCCCAGCTCTCGGGAGGCCGAGGCGGCGGATCGCTGAGGTCGGGAGTTCGAAACCAGCCTGAGCAAGAGCGAGACCCCGTCTCTACTATAAATAGAAAGAACTAATTGGCCAACTAAATACAAAAAATTAGACCGGGCATGGTGGCTCATGCCTGTAGTCCAGCTACTTGGGAGGCTGAGACAGAAGGATCGCTTGAGCCCAGGAGTTTGAGTTGCTGTGAGCGAGGCTGACGCCACGGCACTCACTCTAGCCTAGGCACAAAGCAAGCTCTGTCTCAAAAAAAAAAAAAAGCTGGATTTATTTAATTCATGTCTTCCTCTTGATAGATAGATTCACCTGTTTACTTTACAATTTTTTTTTTGAGACAAGAGTCTCACTTTGCTGCAAGTGAGTGCCATGGTGTCAGCCTAGCTCACAGCAACCTCAAACTCTGAGCTTAAGCAACCTACTGCCTCAGCTTCCCAAGTAGCTGGACTACAGGCATGTGCCACCATGCCTGGCTAGTTTTTTCTATATATATTATTGGCAATTAATTTCTTCTATATATAGTAGAGACAGGGTCTCGCTCTTGCTCAGGCTGGTTTCGAACCCTGACCTCGAGCAATCGCCCACTCGGCCTCCCAGAGTGCTAGGATTACAGGCGTGAGCCACCGCGGGCAGCCCGTTTACATTTAGAGAAAAGCTGACACATTTGGTTTTATTCTCCTGCATATTTCATGTTTACCATGTATATTCTTGTGCTGTTTCCTCTATTTTCCATTCCTTTACTTTTGCTGACTTGATCTAGTTTCTGTTCATTTTTTTTCCTCCTGTTAAACAAAAATCTGCAATGCTTCTTAAATTTCTGCTCATGATAATCTTTGAAACAGATATAATTAGAACTATATTTTCCAGTAATACATGAAGACTAAATTATAATTCTGTGCCCCCTTTAGTGTTTTGCCTATTCCTCCCAACCCAGCAAAGTGAAAACTTTTTAAAAAACAATTTACTTTGTCACTCTTCTCCCTACCTTCACCGCACAATTAGAATTTGCAATACGTCTAAATTTTAGAACAAAGATATTATTTTCTTACAGTTTGACTCTTCAAAGATCATTGCATCCACTTTCAAGGATCATTGCTTTTTAGTAATGGTTTATTTACTCTATAATTTAACTCTGCAGAGGTTGAATATCCCCTTTCCAAATGCTTAGGACCAGAAGTTTCAAATTTGGAATGTTTGAAAAATAAAATAAAATAAAAAATAAAATAAAATATAAAGTAACTGTGAGTAAATGGTGACCAAGGAGTATGGGTGGAGCAAAGAATAAAGGCTCTTTGGATGCAAAAATATTTTCCATAAAGGCAGAACCCACATCTGTCTTGTTTATCACCATCCCAAGCTCCTAGCAAACTTCCTGGCATATGGTAGTTGTTAAAAAATATTTGCTGAATGAAAAGATGGGAAACAAGAGTGCAGTTGAGCTACGAAACTATATCCTTGGAAGATGATCTGGATGGGTCTCACTTTCAGTGGAAAAAATGTTGCTGGGCATGGAGAAAGAAGTGTGGGAGATAGCAGACACATCCCGGGACATCGTTCAGACCCACGGAGAGTGGGAGCTCCTGAGCATCAACAAGGCCTCTCCAAGGATGTTGGTGGGAGACAAACTATACGATCAGATTATGTTCTATGTGAGCTCGGAGGCCTTTGCTTTTCTTTCCTTGATTGCTCTTGCCCTTGCCTAGAATCTCCACCAAATGAGTATCTCCGAAGTTTCAAGGTCTCTCAACCTTACCACTTTCTGCCTGAGGCCAGAACTCTCTCTCCTGGCTGCCCAGCCTCACTCTCCATCCTAAAATTCATGGCTCTGGCCTAACCCTCTTGGCTGGTTCTATATCAGATTATGAAGCTGCATGCCACATAGCTCCAGATCCCAGGGTGTTATCAGACCAATGAAAAAGGCAGAGACAGAAACAATCGCTTCTATTCCTAGCAGTGAGCTGCTATTTCTGAATTTGGATTTCCTCCCACCCCATATATACTCCCCTCACTTCCCTCCCCACCAGGTGGCCATCAGGCGCAGGCCCAGCCTCTACATCATAAACCTCCTGGTGCCCAGTGGCTTTCTCATGGCCATTGACGCCATGAGCTTCTACCTGCCAGCAGAAAGTGGGAATCGCGCCCCATTCAAGATAACCCTCCTGCTGGGCTACAACGTCTTCCTGCTCATGATGAATGACTTACTCCCCACCAGTGGCACCCCCCTCATCAGTATGGCTCCTCCAACCTTTGGGAAGAGAAGAATGGGAGCTAGCTCAGGGAAGGGAGGTGTACTGGGGAAAGGAGTCTTCATGCTTGCCAAGGTGGGATCAGAAGAGAGAAGTCCTGGGTGGTCCCTCTGGCCCTCACACAGGCCCACCTTCCCTCCAGGTGTCTACTTTGCCCTGTGCCTGTCGCTGATGGTGCTCAGCCTGCTGGAGACTGTCTTCATCACCTACCTGCTGCACCTGGCCACCACCCAGCCCCCACCCATGCCGGGGTGGCTCCACTCCCTGCTGCTGCACTGCACCTGCCCAAGGAAATGCTGCCCCACTGCGTCCCACAAGGGGAACGAGGGCCTTGGCCTGCCCCCCGCCCAGCTGCCTGGTGAGGGAAGTCGGCCCCCCCACACTTGCTCTTCTCACACCCCCACTTTTCTGCCCCTGCTTCCCTCCCTGGGCAGATAACTTTCACAGCCTAGGGCTCAGTCTCTGTCTTTCTGTAGGTGTGAAGGAGCCAGAAGTGTTAGCAGGGCAGATGCCAGGTCCCAGAGAGGCAGAAGCTCGGGGCTCAGGATGGACAAGGGCCCAGCGGGAGCAGGAGGCCCAGAAGCAGCACAGGGTGGAGCTGTGGGTGCAGTTCAGCCACATGATGGACACCCTGCTCTTCCGCCTCTACCTGCTCTTCATGGCCTCCTCCATCCTCACCGTCATCGGCCTCTGGAACACCTGAGCATTTCTATCTGCTCCTGCAGATCCCAGCTGCTGCTTCTGGCCTCCAGGGACCAGCCAAGTCGTCACCCTTTCCCAAGAACCAACTGTCATATCCCCAAAGTTACCAGTCCCTGCTGTATTCCATGTATACCAATCCAGCCCTGCTGGTCAGTCTCATCCAGTCCCAAACATTTTCCCCTTGGTCCTGCATTCCGTTGGCTTCCCTCAGTCCTACCGTGTGGTTCTAGGACCCCTTTATGTCTTCTGCATAGCAGGTTTCTACCTCCTCTGCCTGCTAACTTGTCCCAATAAATCATTTTACAGAGATTTCTGGTTCTTTGTCATGTCATAGAGTAGAAACGTAAATATTCAGGACTGATAGTTTCAAAATATCACCTGTGCATTCCTTTGCCTATGATAAAGCTTTAATGTCATAAGGCTGCGGTCCCCAACCCCCAGGCCACGGACCAGTACCAGTCCATGACCTGTAAGGACCCCAATGCACAGCAGGAGGTGAATGTCAGGCACACAAGGGAAGCTTCATCTGTCTTTTTACAGCCGCTCCCCATTGCTCCCATCACCACCTGAGCTGCACCTGCCGGCACCAATTGAATGGAAAAACTGTCTTCCCTGGTGCCAAAAAGGTTGGGGACCACTGTCATAAGGGATGATCCCGTCACTTTAAGTCCAAGGTGACAACTCTCCTATTTGAGAAGTTTTAATTCTCTTAGATGTTTTTAGAAACATATGTTCTTTCTAATAGAGTCTTTTGATTCATCTTTTTCACTATCTTGTACTGATTTCATCTTAATACTCTCTCAATTCGTTTCATTTTATTCTTTTTCTTATTTTTCAAGTTGAATTCTCCATTAAAGGATTCTCAGTCTTTCTATAATACAAATTTTACTCTGAGAACAGCTTCAGCTATATCCCACAGGTTTTAGAATAAAGTGTTTCCTCTTCATTACTTCATAGACAATTTATAATTTGCTTTTATTTCTTCTTTGATCTAAAGGCTATTTGGGAGAGTTTGACTTAATGTCCATAGACAAGGGAGTTTTGTTATTGTTATCTTCTCCTTATTAATTCCCAGTTTTTTTAGTTTATGATCAGAGAGCATGGTCTTTAAATTTAAAACTTTTTGGACTTATAAAGCTTTCTGTCAGGCTGAATGCATGATTGGTTTTGTAACAGGTTTTGTTTTAGGACATTAAAAATGTATATATTCTCTATTTATATGTATATCTACTAAGTAGAGCGTATTGATTGCATTATGCCAGTCCTCTTCAGTGGTCCCGAACCTTTTTGGCACCAGGGACCAATTTTGTGGAAGACAATTTTTTCACAGACTTTGGGGTGGGGGGATGGTTTCAGGATGATTCAAGCACATTACATTTATTGTGCACTTTATTTCTATCATTATTACATTGTAATATATAATTAAATAATTATACAACTCACCACAATGCAGAATCAGGGGAGCCCTGAGCTTGTTTTCTTGCAATTAGACAGTCCCATCTGGTGGTGATGGGAGATAGTGACTGATCTGACAAGAGATGGAGCTCACGCAGTGATGCGAGCGATGAGGAGCAGCTGTAAACACAGATGAAGCTCCACTCGCTTGCCTGCCGCAAGCAGTGTGGCTGGTTCCTAACAGGCCACAGACTGGTACCAGTCTGTGGCCCAGGGGTTAGAGACTGTAACTCTATATCATAGCTTATTTTTTGTCTCCCCTGGCCTATTAAAGTTCAAAACTATTTTATTCATGTTCTCTGGGTAGTTGTAGTTTTCCTTTTACATATATTTGACTGTTATGTTATATGATGCATAAAAGGATATGGTTACTATATATCCTTGAATTATACTGATTTTATCCTCATATAACGTCACTATTTGTTCTATTCAATGTGTTTGAACATGATTTCCATTAGTATCAAAATGCTGCATATCTTGCTTTTGCCTGGTATATTTTTGCACATCTCTTTATTAATTTTTGATTAATTTTTGGCAGAGTCATATACATACAAGGTACAAATGTCAAAAGGCACATATGGTACCTATCTTTGTTTGCAGCCACCTAATTCTCTCTAGAAGCATCCACTGTTACTTTCTTTGTGCATCTTTTAGAGTACTTCTTTATTTTCCATCTTGCCTTGTCAATTTATTTTAGGTGCATTTTTGTAAACATAAAGCTGGATTTGGCCGGGCGCGGTGGCTCACGCCTGTAATCCCAGCTCTCTGGGAGGCCGAGGCGGGCGGATCGCTTGAGGTCGGGGAGTTCGAAACCAGCCTGAGCAAGAGCGGAGACCCGTCTCTACTATAAATAGAAAGAAACTAATTGGCCAACTAATATATACAGAAAAATTAGCCGGGCATGGGGCTCATGCCTGTAGTCCCAGCTACTTGGGAGGGCTGAGACAGAAGGATCGCTTGAGCCAGGAGTTGAGGTGCTGTGGAGCGAGGCTGACGCCACGGCACTCACTCTAGCCTAGGCAACAAAGCAAGACTCTGTCTCAAAAAAAAAAAAAAAAAAAGCTGGATTTTATTTAATTCAATGTCTTCCTCTTGATAGATAGATTCACCTGTTTACATTTAACAATTTTTTTTTTTTTTGAGACAAGAGTCTCACTTTGCTGCAAGTGAGTGCCATGGTGTCAGCCTAGCTCACAGCAACCTCAAACTCCTGAGCTTAAGCAACCCTACTGCCTCAGCTTCCCAAGTAGCTGGGACTACAGGCATGTGCCACCATGCCTGGCTAGTTTTTTCTATATATATTAGTTGGCAATTATTTCTTTCTATATATTAGTAGAGACAGGGTCTCGCTCTTGCTCAGGCTGGTTTCGAACTCCTGACCTCGAGCAATCCGCCCACTCGGCCTCCCAGAGTGCTAGGATTACAGGCGTGAGCCACCGCGGGCAGCCCCGTTTTACATTTAGAGAAAAGCTGACACATTTGGTTTTTATTCCTTGCATATTTCATGTTTACCATGTATATTCCTTGATGCTGTTTCCTCTAATTTTCCATTCCTTACTTTTGCTGACTGTGATCTAGTTTTCTGTTCATTTTTTTTCCTCCTGTAAAACAAAATCCTGCAATGCTTCTTAAATTCTGCTCATGATAATCTTTGAAACAGATATAATTAGAACTATATTTTTCAGTAATACATGAAGACTAAATTATAATTCTGTGCCCCCTTTAGTGTTTTGCCTATTCCTCCCCCCAACCCAGCAAAGTGAAAACTTTTTTAAAAAACAATTACTTTGTCACTCTTCTCCCTACCTTGCGAACAATTAGAATTTGCAAATACAGTCTAAAATTTTTAGAACAAAGCTATTATTTTTTCTTACAGTTTGACTCTTCAAAGATCATTGCATCCACTTTCACAAGGATCATTGCTTTTTAGTAATGGTTTATTTACTCTATAATTTAACTCTGCAGGAGGTTGAATATCCCCTTTCAAAATGCTTAGGACCAGAAGTGTTTTCAGATTTGTGAATGTTTTTTGAATTTTGGAATAATAAATGAGATATCTTGGGGATAGGACCCTAGTCCAACACAAATTCATTTATGTTTCATATACACCTTATACATGTAGCATTAGGCCAACTTTATACAATATTGTTGATAATTTTGCTGCATGAAAAATGTTTGTTGACTATGTTTTGACTGCAACCCTTCGAAAGAGGTCAGATGTGGAATTTTCCACTTGTGGAATCATGTCAGCACTCAAAAAGTTTTGGATTTTGGGCCATTTCAGATTTCAGATTACAGATGCTCAACCCATATATTCCAAGGATCCACAGTTTATCTCAGTTTCTCTCCTCTTTGTTCTTTCTATCAAGAAAATTTTGTTCTGTTTTAATTGGCCGCTGGTTTGCACATATTTCTTGAGTATTTCTTCCAGTAGTTGTACTGGGTATATGCTTGACTCCTTGTGTGTCTGAAAGTGTCTTTTGTTTTGGACGATTATACATTTCTGGCTAGCATAGATGGTATAGGGTTATATAATCGCAGTCCCCCCCCCCGCCGCCAGATGTTATGTGATACCTGTTATTCTAGTTTTCCAATGTCTTAGATGAGAAATCCAGGCTGCTCTCATTTCTCTCCCTTTTGAGAATGGAATATCTGAATGCTTTTAGAAGAAGTTTCTATTTATCTGGGGAATAGAATCCGGTATCTAATGCATGGTGTGGTGTGTTGTCTGGTGTTGTGTGTTGTGTGTGGTGGTGTGTTTCCATTGACTCTGTCTGTCTCTCAGTGATCCTTTTCAACATGAATATTCAAATCTTTTTCACTTGGAGGTTTATTCCAATATTTAAGTAACACCCTACTCTGTTCCATCTGTTCTTTTTCCTGTCTGGAACTTTCTGCTTATTCACAAGGTAGGGGTTGCATGTATCTGTCCCAGAACTATCTTTTTTTCTCATGCGTTCATTTTTCTGTCTGGGTTGGCTTTGTGTTGATGATCAATCTTTTCAGCACAGAATTCAGTTCGTGCAGTAGGTGACCATTTCTGCTCTCTTCATGCTAGTGAATGTTTTGAATTAAAAATAAGGCTTTCATAAACTCTTTGTGTTAATCCAGGTCTAGAAGAACTCTGTCTCTTCATCTTACTCCTACTTCGAGTATATAGCCCCGTGTCGTCAATGATGTCACGGTGGATCAGTTGAGTTCGGTTATACGGTCCGGTTGATTGCGGAACTGTAGCTTGATGGGGTGCCCAGGATATCTGTCAAAACTAGTCTGAGTTGGCTCGTGGAAGGTATTTTCTTACATGTTGGTTGAGAGCAATCGAGTAGGGCTTATGTAAGTAAAACAGAGGTTACCTCCATAATTTGGGGTGGTTGTTATCCAACAGTTGGAAGTTCCTTAAGAGAGCAGAAGTGTGATGTTTCTAAAGAAGAAGGATTCTGTATGTTCAACATTCTCTAACATCAGGGGAATTGCAAATCAAAACCACAATGAGTTCACTGTGAATCCAGTGAGAATGTGCTTATCAAAGTCCGCCAAGACAACAAGTGCTGGTGTGGATGCAGCGAGGAGGAGAACACTCCATTATACTGCTGGGTGGGACTGCAAACTAGTTCAACTTCTGTGGAAAGGCCAAAGGAGTAGCTCAAAGCGGATAGCGAGTAGATCTACCATTTGATCGCAGCAGATTCCACTCCTCCGTACTGGCGGCATCTACCAAAAAGGATCTCAAAAGTCATTTATGAAAAAGACACCGCAGCTTTCGAATTTTATAGCAGCACAATTCACAATTTGCATAAGCTTATGGAAACACACCAGAGGTGGCCAGTGCATAGTTTCATGAGATTTAAGTAAAATGTGTGGTATATGGTTACCAGTAGAATACTACTCAGCTGTTAAGAAGACAATGGTGAGTATAGCACCCACGTGTGTATATTCTGGATACAGCTGGAACCCATGTCTAATAAGTGAAGTATCGTCAAGAATAAAAACCAGGTGCAC